ACAATATGTGATTATGTAGACACGTGCTGGAAAATCCCTTGATACTAAATCACGACAAGAAAATATTGAACATAAACTTATGAAAGTATTGGAGATGGCTGTAAAAGCAATCAATTTCATTAAACTGCAATTTCATAGTGCTTGTGCTCTTTTGAACGCTAACATTACCTTCGAAATTACGTTGCCCGTGCATTGCACTGGCGACAAACTAGTATGTAAAAAAAAATACAATAATTAAAAATTTTATTTGTAAGCAGAAAAATTACTTTATTACTAAAAAAGTTACTTGCAAGTAAAAACTCACTTATGAAATAAAAATTTCACTTTCATGTAAAAACTTGCTTATAAAAGTAAAAATACTATTAATATGTCAAAAATCCAATTATGAAATATAAGAAGTTATAAGTAAAAAATTCATTTGTGTGTAAAAAATTACTTATAAATACAAACTTAACTTATAATTATAAAATTTATGTACAAGTAAAAAAATAATTATATAAAATTTAAATATTGTACTTTTAATTTAAAAGGTAACGTATTTTCAAAAAGTCACTGAACTTAAAAAATTTCCTTGTTAGTCACTGAATTTTGTAAAATTATTCTCATCCATCACTAACTCAATGGACGATTAAAAATTTGATGATTTTTTTGACAGGGCTGATGAAATTGCGTATGCGGCAATATATTTTCCACTTAGTATTCATGTCATTACCAATTTTAAAAACTAAGTGTTGGATGAGATATTGCATTTCAAAGTTTAGATATTAAGCAATTAACCCCATTTTTTTTTTTTTATCAATCTTGATGTTTTTTAGTATTTTTTTTTGGGTACTCCTACCCCATAGTTTTATTATCTCTGTCATCGTCAAACTACATCAATCACTTAATAGTATTCAACTTTGAAATTTATATACATCTTCAACTAAAAATTAAAATTTTTATTTTTATTTTTATTTAGATTTGTCTTGATGGAAAGACAATCGAAGTTGAAGTAGATTATGGAAGTTGCACACCACAACATAGTTTGCCCAAAAGGATGTGAAACCAACACAAATAACATTGCTATAATCTTTGCTTGGACTTGGGGGATCGCACACATGTAATTAAATATGATTTTGAGTCTAACAATTTGCTATAATGAAATGCATTATTTTTAAATGTGATGAATAGGAAAAAATAATTAAAAAGTAGACAAAATATTTAGGGTAAAATTGGATGACAATACGAAGCTCTTGAATTTCATTGAAAAACAAGAAGCAGCTTTTATTAGTGCAATGGAGTCTGAAAATATGGCTGAGCATATTGCCCTTATTATCCATGAATCGTGAACATCGTATCGTTTTCTCCATCTATAATCCTAAAGTCGTCTTACTTTTTTTCCCAATCAAGAGGGAGAAAGTATCTCGTTCTACTCATTATTATGCGTTCTTTTATAATATTATAGGCTTGATCGAGATAAGTATTTGAACACAGTTCATCAATATTGTGGCAAATGAGATAAAAGCAAAACTTTCTTATTAAGCAATAGCATACGTGAATATTTGCGTTAAGGTTAACAATTTTATGTAACCCATAAAAAATAGCCGTTAATTACCTAAATCATCACTCAATTTTGCATAAAGTTTCCACCAGATCACTGAACTTTTAAAAATTACGACGTTAATCACTAAACTTTGTAATTTGTTATCCCATCCATCACTCAGTTTTTAAAATTGCCAATGACATGAAAGTGAAAAATAGACTGTCACGTACGCAATTTTGTTAGACACATCAGTAAATTCGTCAAATTTTTAAATGTTCATTAACTGATGAATGTCATTATATTTTGTCAAGCCAATGACCAATTGAAAAAAGTTTGTGAAGTTCAGTGACTACAAAACCTTACATTATGGATGACAATTCGAATTGTTAAAATCGAAAACCGCGGTTAACCGAACCGAATGTGGCGAAAAAAATCGAACCGATGGTTCAATGGGGCGGTTATGGTTTTGATTTTAATGAACCGCTTCACTTAGGGGCGAGTATGGTATTTAGCGATGGTGCACTGCCCCGAACCGATTACCCGTTCAAAAAAATTTAATTGGACTTTTCATCAGTATTTTCCAAAATTAATTGGGCAATTT